ATATATATATAGCTGTTCAGTCTGTGAGGTTGAATGTCTCAGCTGGTCTTCAGTGTATGCTGGAATCTCAAAGAAGTAGGCTCTCATGTCAGCAAAGGAATAGACTTGCTAGCAAGATCAAGAGCAAGCAGTCAAAGAGAGCAAGCTTCCTTCTTCCAGATCCTATATACAGGCTGCCAGCGGATGGTTCAGATGAGAAGTGGGTCTTCTCGCCTCAGAAGATTTGGATTAAAGTTATGTCTTTCTGACTCAAAGATCCAGATGAGAAGTAAGTATTTCCACTTCAAATGAATTAATCAAAATTTCCTCACATGTATGCCCAGCCATTTTTGGGTTTTAGATAATTCCATACATAGTCGAGCTGACAACTGAGAATAGCCATCATGCCATCTGGATCTTCTGCTCATCCTGTTGCAATCATGTGTATCTGCTCCAGGGAAAGGCAAAGAACATGGATGTGCTGGGAAGTGGCCCACCTCATAACTGTTCACTGGGGACAGCAATCACTTGATGACAGTTGTAATGAATGTGAAGTATACATAGGATGCATATACTGAGACAAAAAGATTACTTCTTGTAAGAATAGGATAGAATTTGGTGCACTAAAATAATCTTATCAATAAGGAAGGGAATGAATAGATATGTACAACATAGCGTTTCCTAGGCCACATGTCTATATTACATCTCATCCATCAGTGGTCATCCTTGGTTTAGATTGTAATATGGCATATAGCATGTTTTGCTAATGATTCAATGTAGTGGTTTGGAAGAAAATGGCCCCCAAAGGGAGTGGCACTGTTAGAGGTTCGGATTTGTTGGAGTGGATGTGGCCTTGTTGGAGGAAGTGTGTCACTGTGAAGGTGGCTTTAAGGTTTCATATATGCTCAAGCCACATCCAGGCTCTCATACCATGTCCTGTTGCCTTTGAATCAAAACGTAAGGACTCTCAGCTCCTGCTCCAGCACCATGTCTGCCTGCATAACACCATGTCACACCATGATAATGGACTGTAAGCCACCCCAACTAAATGGTTTTCCTTTACAAGAGTTGCTGTGGTCATGGTGTCTCTTCACAGCAACATAAATTCTAACTAAGATAAATTGTCTGCATTTGAGTCTAGATTCTTCATTGATAAACCTGGAGGCCTCCACCAAATTATTTTCCTGAGCCTTACATTTATTTCAGTTACTAAAAGTGAGAATTCTAACTGTGCCTACTTCATAGTTACCAACCTTTAAGTAAAGTGGAACATACAAAGAACTTGGGAACAGGATCGTAGTAGTTTGAATGGGAGGCAGAGATGTGAACATCTACTCACCAGCTGATGACACTGATTAGGGAGGTTTAAGAGATGTGGCCTTGATGGAAGTAGTTATTGGAGGGGGGCAGGTTTTGAAACTTTTTTCCCAACATAATATTTTTATTGATTATTTAGGAATCTCACATAGTGCACCGTGATCACACTCACTTCCCAGTCCTCCCAGGTCTGCCCCCCAACCTTTTGATCTGCCCCCCAAGGAAAAAAGAAGAAGAAAAGTCCAATTTGTGTTGCCCATATTTTCACTGGAGCATGCTCTAACTCCTGGTGGCTAGCCCCTTAAAGAGAACTGATTCTTCCCCCACCCACAGTCCCATCGGAAGCCATCAGTTGTGGAGAGCTACACTTCAGCATCCTTATCACAGTTTCTAAGCGTTCTCTTTTAGGGCTTCCTGTCTAGGATTTTACTCTTTGGGGGTGGGGTGAGGTAGGGGGCTGTCAGGAAAGTCTTCTGTGTTTCTTTTTCTCAACTGTGTGTCTGCATTCCTTGATACCACTGCAAAAGAGGCTTCCTTGCCTTTTACAGCCAGCAGGAGTATGGATCACGGACTTCCACTTGGTTTCTGGCAACAACATGGACCATGAACATCCACATGGCCTCTGGCGTCAGCATGTGACGGGAACCTCAGCGTGGTCTCCAGTGGCAGCATAGACTGTGGACATCCACACGGCCTCCAGTGGCAGCAGGGATCATGGACATCAATATGATTTCCGTAAAGCCTTACACCACTCCCAACTCTCTCTGCTTCCTGATGTGCTTGAGGACAGGCGCTATCAGTTTTTTGTTCTGAGCACCATGCCTGCCTACTGCCAACCTCCCTGACAGAATGGATTCTCTGGTACACAAAGTCCAAATAAACCCTTCCTTCCGTGAATTGCCTTGGTCATGGTGTTTTATCACAGCAACAGAGACATATCTCATACAAGGACTTTCCTCTAACACTGCTAATAAGGTTTGATGCTCAGGCTAGAGGAAAGCTTGAGTAATCTCACAAAATGATACAGTTTAGGTCCTTGCTATTACTTTCTTGTTTTCAAATAAAATTTTATTTTTAGATTTGATGTTTTGAGACAAAATGTTTAGATTTTTGATGTAATTGATAGTACTGAGTGTTCCCATGTACCTTTCATGCCACTACTTCTAATTTTAACATTTTACACAACCATGCTGTTTCTCAAAAGTCAGAAAGTAACTTAGATATATTATTCCAAGCTAAATACATGTTCTGTTCTATTTATTACCTCTTCTTTCCCTGGATTCTTTATCCATTCTCAGTTTAACTAACCTTTTCCAGGGCTATAGATTTGTGTCATGTATATCTTGATGAAAAAATCTGATATTTGCAAGTTGAATATCAGTTGCCTATGAATTAATAAGCCTGAGAATAAATTGTTCTGCTAGAAATAATAATGATATATTTGCTCATACTTAGCATGATAGCTAGGAAGTTTATCTTCACATAAAAATGCCAGTAGGTATTATGTTCTATACTATTGGCTGCATACTGCAGAAGTAACTAGGATTTAATTAATACTTTTTTTTTGTTTTTGTTTTTTTCAAGACAGGGTTTCTCTGCATAGCTTTGTAGCCTGTCCTGGAACCTTGTAGACCAGGTAAAGGGTTCACAACACGCCCCCACGGTCGGGTGTGTTTGCATATGCCTGGTGGACACTTCCGTCTTGCCAGTTCCAGGTCAAGATAGCCATTTCCGGGTCAAGGCGTCTCGCGTGACCAGGATCCGTGACTTTGCATGTTTATGTAGGTGCGCAGTGTAGCCATGTGATCTACGCATATGTGTAGAGTAGTTACGTAGACCTGTGCACGCCCAGCCTTTATAAGCTGGTGCCATGTTCCCAGTTCCTTCTTCTTCTCCACACATGTGTCTCTTCCACAGGCTTGCACACTCTCTGTCCCCTTTATCTTTAATAAAACTCTTATTAGCGGATTCTGTCGTGTTTTGTGACATTTCCTTGCAGGGTAAGAGCACAGCGCTGCAAAAATAACTAACACCAGGCTGGCCTAGAATTCACAGAGATCTGCCTAGCTCTGCCTCCCAAGTGCTGGGATTAAAGGTGTGAGCCACCACTGCCCAGCTAATTGATATTTCTTTAGTCCATGACTTCAATCTTAAAATATAAATGGGCAATGGAAAGCCTTAGACAATTGCTGAGATTTTGAATGGCTTACTGTGTAACAGTTTGTAACATCTCAATAAAACACTTACTTTTGAAAAATGAAGTTGAGTTCTGGCAAGTTTATAAGGTTGGGTAAAAAATTCAGAAAAAATGGTAGTTGGGTGCGGCTTCCACAGTGAGTCTCAGCAGTGATGAGAGAACAAAAACCTTAGAACTTCCACATTCTACAAGTCTTGTGGTTACACTAACCTACATGAGGCTTTTGCAGTGGCTGCCCTCAGTGGTCAGCCACCGATATTTATTGGTGAATTAGTTTATCTTTAAAGTTTATTTATGTAAAGATAGGAAAGCTGTCTCACCTCTGCTCTTTACTTACTCTTCTCAGGTCTGATGGTGTTTGTTGATCAGGGTATTAATATATTTGCCAGGTTTACAACTCTTCCCCCAACCCCAAGGCTACAAACACCTTGGTAGCTCATTAATAAGTTTCCTGTTAAAAGTACAGGTAGATGTGCCTCATTCACAGACTTCATTGTGAATTTCTAGCCCTTTGCTATGGCACCAAGATATAAATCTATTCTAGTTGTTTCACAGACACCTGCAGGTTCCTGCACAGGTCCACCACTCCTGCCAGACTCATGCCAAGGTCAAACCTGCAGGGGTCTTCCAGATATACCAGTCCCTGTACCAGCTCTGAGGATTTCAACTGGGCAAATACTGGCAGGTTAACTTCACCCACATACCTGCTCATAAAAACTCTAATATCTTCTAGCTTGCTGAACTTTTACAGGATGGATAGAGGCATTTCTCACCTCCAGAGAAACAGCAGATGTGATGGCTCAGGTACTCCTGATTAACACATCATCCCTCAATTTGGCATACCATCCCCCAAGCTCCTGGGACCTCATTGCTGGTACCACTTCTCCAGGCTCAAGTGGGCACCTGCCTGGCAACTGGAACCTGGTTTTCCAAGATGTCCCAATGAAGGGCATATCTGCTCTCATGTCTTGCTTATTCACCCTTATGGTGATATTTTATTTGTATTAAAATGTTATTTGTATATTAATAAATAAAGTTTCCTGGGGGTCAGAGCTATTAGCAAGCCATAGGAAAGCAGGGCAGTGGTGGCGTACGCTTGTAATCCCAGCACTTGGTAGGCAGAGCTAGGTAAGTCTCTGTGTGTTCAGGGATACAGCCAGTATTGGATACACATGCCTTTAATCTCAATACCAATCATAGAAAACCTGGAGGTCTATACAGACAGGCCGTGACGAGGCGGTCATGTGGTTGGGTTTACAACCAATGAGAAGGCAGACCAGAAACACTATAAAAATACAGACACACAGGAAATAGCTCTGGTTCGGAGAGGTAGGACCACTGCAGGAGGAAGGGTAAGGTTTTAGCTCTTAGCTCTGACCTCTTGGCTTTCTTCTTTGCATTGGTTCTGTGTTTCTTATTTAATAAGACGATTGGTTACATCTACACACCCTTGCCTCATCTGTACAACCAGGGAACTCCTCCATTCCATTCTTTCTGGCAGTTACCACTCTTCCCATGGCTAGCACCACTCATGGGGCTGATGATAACAATCTATTTTTTCTCGTAGCAACCTGCCTTCTCAACTCAGCAAGGATCAGATGCCTGAGGTCTCCATGATGACAGCTAACCAAATGCTTATTTACTCACACCTCCTGCTGTGTGTGACCCCGACTCCCAACTTCTTCCTCCCCACTTCATCCCAAGTCAGCAGGAAGTAGTCTCGAGAATTCCGTACCCTCATTTCTACCCCACTTGTTACCCATAACTCACCTTTTTATAATAAACAAAAGGGAAGAAAATTAGCATTCAGGCCCACCCCCTTGGAAAGCTGGCCAACAATCAGGCAATACCATGGGTCACTCAGGTTCCTGCAAGGTCATCCTACATAGCCTGTATCATTATGTCCCTTCAAAAGGTGTGGTCCTGCCTGCCTTCTCTTTCTTCTTCCCTTCATAGCCCCCACCCACTCTTTCTTCTCTCTCTCTCTCTCTCTCTCTCTCTCTCTCTCTCTCTCTCTCTCTCCCATGAGGCCCCTCTGCACTCCCTCTCCCCTCTCTCTTCCCATACCACTAATAAAACTCTTCACATGAGTGCTGCCTGCATGGCATGTCTCTCCCTCCCTCACTGTGAGGCCCCACGACTCCAATCCATCAAGGTAGGTCTCTGGCCATCTTTAAAACACAACATCTGTTACTATAATAAACACAATGATGAAAAGTGAACTGGGGAGGGAAGGGTTTATTTCATCTTACAACTCCCAGTCACAAACTAACATGGAAGGAAATCAGAAAATGAGCTGGAGACAGGAACATGGAGGGGTGAAACTGAAGCAGAGGCCATGGGGAAAAGCTGCTCACTGGCTTGTTCTGAATGGCTTTCTCAGCTTGCTTCCTTCTACAGCCATGGCTTCAGCTCCAGGCTATCAGGTGGCTCTGATGGGTGTCAGAATGGTGAGATCTCTTGCTGGCACACAAGTTCTTTCTTTGCCAGTGCCAGGATACCAGCCTTTTTCTCCTTCCAGTATGAGATGCCTGTGGAAATTTCAGTTTCTTTAGATCCATTGTTTCAGCAGTCTGAGGGCCAAAGGAGGGACACACATGTCTCTTTAGAATACTTTGATTTCTGGCAGGAATCTCGTGCTGGGAAAAGAAAAGGGCTGATGGCTGGTACCATCCAGGGGACTTGGCTTCTTGGAAAGAGACTTAACGCTATCCTGAGCTTCCCAGCTCCAAGTCCAGGAAACCTTGTGCTACGTGTGTGGGAGAAGAGTGGGTGGATAGGCAGAGGCAGCACCTCCGGCAAAGTGAGCGAGATTGCGTTCCAAGGGGGACGTGGAGACTCCGAGGAAGCTGGACCTGATGGAGAAAATTCATGTTTCATAAAGATGACTTTGGAAACAAGTGGGAAGGTTAATTCTTAGGGATTCATAGAGGGGTTTTTCTTTTTCTTTACACAATTTTT